TTTTTTTTTTTTTTTTTTTTTTTTTTTTCCCATGGGTATTGCTAACTCTGGGCGACGCCGTGAGTTCGTATCCATCAGTCAAAGAAACTGTCCAGGTTCAACCTCCTCATAGCTGGGTGAAATTCCAACCAAACAGTCTGTGGCAGTCATGCCTCGCCACACGGCACACCAGACGAAAACGAAACGAGCGCATCTGCCCACGAAAGGTGGCAAAATACACTCGTTAATACTCGTTACTATTTATATATAGGCTTATAGCAAACCGATGAACCTGGCCATTCTCTGCCGGAAAATGCACTCGTTTTATTTTCCGTTTCGTGTCCCGTGCGGCGAGGCCCTTTGCCGCAAGACCTAAGAAATGCATAAGGAAAGGAAAAGTTCAAAAAATTCATCAATCAACCAACGAAAATAGTACAAGACAAAAAAAAAAAGAAAAAGAAAAAAAAGGTGCAAGACGGGATCGAAACAGCATACAAGAACAGCTGTGCTGCGAGCTTGGCGACGACCAAGAGAGAGGATTGTGAATGCATCGGACAGCAGATACGGTCACATTCATTCATTCGGGACAGTAAGACAATATTTTTGAACGGCTTGATTTTGGACAAACAGAGATCTGAACCTTCTTTTTTTTTTTTTTTGGTTAAAATCGAATCAGATTCATATAAGGGGGGTCCTTTTTTGGTTTTCGGTTTTTCGTAACGGGCGACAGCCTTCAGATATCATCTTTTTTTTTTCTTTTTTTTTTTCTCTTCTTTTTTTTTTTCTCTTCTTTTTTTTTTTTTTAAGCTATGTTCTTCTCTCAATTTCACCTCAGACTACCTACCTACCACTACTCCTAATTGTCGGCATACGGGGTATCATCTTTGGAACTGACTGGCCCCCCAAAGGGTAACTCAGAATCGTTTTACTCTGGTTCATCTGACTGCAACTGGGTACGAACTTGGGGTCTGTATTAACAAAAGTTCGGGGGACATAATTGCAGTCAGATACATTCAAGACAGTGATTGTGTACCATTACAGCTGGTCGGTCAGTAATGAATGTTCGTGGATGTACCATTACAGCTGGTCGTGGAAGAAAGGGCGAACAAAGTAACGGCTGATTCCCAATAACTTGGGGCATACTCACACTTGGCACTTTTTTTTATTTCTACTACAGTCTTCCCCCGAATACAACGTACGGTCATTATAGCTGAATTTAGACTGAAAGATCCACCAAATTCAGCTATAATGACCGTACGTTGTATTCGGGGGACGACTGTAGTTCTCTGGATATGGTTGCGGTCATATTCATCCAGGGCGGCCGTAATTGCAGACAGATACATTCAGGACAGTGATTGTGTGAGTATCCCCCTCAGCTCTTTATAAAAAGCAGCTTCTGTGCAAAAACCGATCACCGTACAAGACTTGTGGTGGTCATTTATTACAAGAAGTCGCCTCCTTCGACACCCAAAAAAAGAAGAAAACAAAAGAAGAAGATGATTTATATTAAAAAAAAAAACCTTTTTTTTTTGACAACTGCTCAATCTAATCAGTTACAGGCAATCCCTGGCGCAGGGATTCATCGAACGATCGTACGGAGAATCATACTGATCATGTAAAACAAAGACCCTTAATACAGGCGATCGATCGTACGATCGAACGATCGAACGATCGAACGAACGACTAATCATCAGTAGTAAGGCGCAGAACACGTTGTACATGTGTTTAAGCTATAATTAATTACACGAGGAGCTGAAGGAAAGAGAAAGCCGCACGGGCGAGGTGATTAACATTCGGTAACTAAGAAAAAAAAGAACAAAGAATCTCCACGAAACGCGTCTCTAATAGGAAAATAGCGACAGAAGAAATAAAGCGTGCGTCCAAACATATCCGGCAATCACAGAAACGGAGAGACAAACGAACACAATGAACACAAACGAACAGAAATCAACCCAAATGTGCAAAAACGAAACACAAACGGATGCAGACGAACACAAACGGACACACAAACGGACACACAACGTGACACGAACTAACAAACGGATAAACAAACGGATAAACAAACGGATAAACAAACGGAGATAAAGGAAGAGGGAGAACGGAGAAATGGAGAGAAATGAGAGAAATGAACGTCATTACAATCAAGACGCGCGCAAAGGGGAGAATAAAGGGGGGGATGGATCACCATTGATCGTAATTGATACCAACGTATCTGCGCGAAAATCGCCCGTTGGTTTTCCTCAATTCATCGATGAGTCTGCACCAATTAGACGCTAAAGCACCTACAAAGTAATCAGCTTCCGAGGCAATGACTAGATTAGCTAGGGACTTCTCTACGAGCTCAAAGTTGGCGCCATTTCCTCTCACCTCGTTGTCGTAATCGGCCTGCGTCTCTTTTATCCTGTGCTGACGCGTGTAGAAGATTCGCCAGCCGTAGCTGGCGTATTCTTCCGCCAGCTTGACGACAGCCTCCCCCTCTGTGCTGAGCCACACGTTTCTTAGGTCGGGATCCCGCCCTCTGATCCCTTCCGCAAACCGCATGTACGCCGGCAAATCAAACAAACTCATCTCCCTTCTTTTGTCCTTCGCGATGCGGACGTGCACACTGATCATCGGTCGGGGCATGTACAGATCTGCACCGCGCCAACGCCCACCGCTGGCCTCTCCTTGCTCCTGCAACGTCGCCGCCAATCCTGCTTCTTGAATCTCCTTCCTATTCTCCTCCTTTTCCTCCTGCCTCTCCCATCCGCCCCACCCGCCTCCCAGTGCCTTGACACTGATCGCGTAAAGAGTGTCATTGCGAAGACTCGCCGCCGACAGCACCATCGCCCTAGCGACCGATTTGCCAAAACTTTGATTTCTCGCGCGATTGATGATGCGGCACAGATAAGCGGTAGGCCACCTCATCAAGTATCTGACGGCCTGCGTTCTCCACCAAGCCCACTCTCTCTCGCCTCCCTCCACATGGACGCTCCCTCCCGCGAAAATCGACGCCCTCATGTCCTTCCACGGCGAGCCCCACCTCTTGGGTATCACCTCCCTGGAGTAGTACGCTTGCGTTCCTTGAAGGTAGACAACGGGCTTGTTGTCGTCGCTCAAGGAGTCTTCTCTACCCCGCTGTTCCTCCAAGAGGGTCATTGCGCGCCGATGACACTCCGCCGACGTGGTTGGCGCGAAGTAGCAGTCGAGTCTGCCGCGTGTATCTCCCGCGCAATTCTCCTGATCAGCCCTAGCATACGTGGGAGAGAGAATCAGTACCCGGCCGCTCTCCAACGCCCGCGCGAATAGCGTCGTCATCCCATGAATTTGCGAGCCCGTGCCGTGTGCCAAGGGCCACCAATCAGCCACCAAGAACTTCACTTCTGGGGAATTACAATCGACAGGATGTTGATGGACCCAGATATCACGTTGCGCGACCCGTGTCAATGGCATGTTGTCGTCATCGGCGCCACGAATCCAGGGTGGGAACGGACCGCGCCCGCCCCCTCCCCCGACGAAGAAAGACGGCGGAGGGTTATCTAGGGCCCAATCTGGGACAGATCCATCGGCATTCCGTTTGTCCGTTGCCAAATGCCATTCCTCCTCTTCCGAGCAATTGGCCAGATGAGGAGGTCTCGTCTTCAGCAATCTTCCAAGCATACCCAATTCTGCTTCCTCCACCCCTCCTCCTCCGCCGCCGCCGCCGGCCGATGTTAACATTGATTCTCCCCCCTGCCGCTCCTCTTCATCACCGATATCCGTGGCACTACCACGTGCCGTATACTCCTTGGCCCAGAAGGCAACCATCCTATTTACCAAACGCTCACTGACACCCTCGCCCTCCGTATCCCCATGCCCATCGCCCACCTTCAGCGTGATGTTCCAGCATCCTTCCCCCTTGACACCCGCCGTCTCTGCATCTCCGCTAGAGACCAGATCAGTCTGTCTCTGTTGGCCGATCACCACGTAGGACAACCCGGGCACCACGTCAGCCTCGGCCGAGTCGCTGTCGCGCCTTGGAGACCACCGAAGCTTCACAGAAACATCAAACATGATTGGGAACACCGCCGCTATCAACAGCACTACCAACACGTATCCTCGCCCCACGCCCCGGACGTGCCCCGCCATTTTCTTCGCTCCTTGTACCACCGCCGGCGGGTCTTACCGCCCAAAAGACCGTCGCTCCTCCCGCTCTTTTTTCTCCCGCCCTCGGCGCGCGCTCGGATCGCTGCTCCGAAGTAAACTCTCGCAAAAGTTGGCGCCAATTCATTTAAGCGCGTACTCAACACTACATAGCTCTGTCTTACACGTATCTGACCGGATTTACGACCCGACCTGGATGCACCTGACCGTCATCACGTCCATAAATAAGAAAAAAGAGTCATCATGTGAGAGTACGCGCTAATCCGCTTTTCAAGCGTTCTCTTCCTCGGCGAATTGTCGACTGATTCGATAACGAACCACCGGCTGACATGGCTTCCAGCACACTCACCTCGTCTCTTTCGTGATAGCAAAGCCGGGGTCTTCGTTCGCCTGACCTTTTTCCGACTGTGTTCATTTCCTCTGTGCAGCTGCTTCTACCTCTCTTCACCTACGGCGCCGAAATGCCAAAATAGAGGTTCGTCCTCCACGTCCTCCACGTCGGAGACGATCATTAGCAACGAAGACCCGTCATCCCCGTTCCGATGGATTGCCATGATAACATGACCATCCGGTACATGCACGACAATCCTATAGTATGCGCGATGCTCCACCACTCATCGACTTCTAGACGATGGCCTTATACATCCGCCAATGTTTTGTCGTTTACCCGCCATTATCTTTTCCATTTACCCGCCACTTTTTTGTCATCCTCACACTTGGAGAGTGGCGCACAGCGATGGTCTGAAGACTTCCGATTCGTTTGCATGGCACCTCATGAATTGTCAGCGTACTGCGCACAGTACCGCGGCGGGAACGTAGGGAGTGATCTCCACGTTCGTGCCACTCGCCAAATGTGAAAAAGACAAAACTGTGGTCGGGCGCGGCGAGGCCGAAAGTAGTCTTCCTCCACTTCTCGATCTACCAAAAAAAAAAAAAAAAAAAAAGCAAACTGGCCGGGCCCAGGTTATTCAGAGTTCTCTTGATTTCATTCATCCGTATTCGGACCCCGGGGTGAGCTAGGTTCGTTTGTTCATCGATATTTCGGTACCTCGCGGGTGTGCCAGCTCCTGAACGATGTAGAAATCCACACATTTTTTCACATGCTCCCGTTCGTGGTTTAGAGTTTCAGCCCGCCCCAGGCGGGCAGTTTCGAGTTGGAGACGGCCCTTGTCGAAAACTCTTCACTCTACCTATGGAGCAACGACCATCAGTCGGGTGGCCTGGGACTCCGTGATACAACCCAAAGTCCAAGGGGGCCTGGGTATCCTGGATCCGATGACCCAAATACAGGCACTATGCCTACAATGGATCCTGCGCTTGATCCTGGTCTTTCCACTCCTTTGGAGACCATTGGCCCTGGAACAAATTGGCCGACTTGCACCGGAAGCCCCACCAACGGTAGATCCTCTATGCTGGTTGGACGACCGCTATTGGAAAGTACCAAGAAGAGCACAGGGGGCAGAAACAATAGAGGGGACAAAGGATGATTTTTGGCCGCTAATAATAAAAATATGGAGAGCTCTACCCCTCCCGCACCGTCCGGCCCCCCGAAAGATGGGAGGAAATAATGAGGCACCCCCTCTTTGAAAATTGTTGGATTACCAACTCTCGAAGCCAAATTTTCTGCAGTTCGGATCCCCCGTGGAAAGGATGGGTAAAAAGGGGGGTAATGAGAGTAGGGGACCTTTGGGATGGGGAACGCAAGGACTGGAAAGATCTGGACCAAATGAAAGACAAATTGAGATACTGTCGAAACATTGAGGAATCGCTGGGGGAGATTGTAGAGGCACTCCCTCTAGCCTGGCGACCCATCCTGCATAGAGGTCCAAAAATACAAGAAGGGGACTGGGTAATAAAGGAGGGAGAACCTCACCGGGTGGGACAAGTTCACCTTGAGCAGCATGCAGACGTGTGGGTAGAATGGTACAGGGTGGGGAGAAAGGGAGAACTAATTGGCAGTAGAGCGCCTTTCGAACAGATTGACAAAGCGACCCTTCACAGGATCAGGACCCTGGGGGAAGGGGATGAACGTAGAGCATACTATAGGCCGGACACTCCAATATCAAAACTCCCCCTGGACCCCGCCGAATGGCAATGGCACCCCTCACAAATGACAAATCAAATAAACAACAGACAGAAAATTGTTAACAACTTGTCAGTCAAAGCCACATATAAGATGCTAGGTGTTAAAAGGAATGTGCGGGACGTAGTAATCGATAGGTGGCAGCGACACCTCAATGTGGATAGGCAACTGCTATCCCTAATAAAACGGTTTCAAGACAACAAGTGTAAACCGGCCAAAATCACGTCCCTTCAATGGCAGATTGCCCACCGCTGTCGTCCCACAAATAACTGGATAATTGACCACATTCAGTTGGAACAACAAGGACGGGCTCATCCATGGTGTTCTCGCTGCCTCCAAAGCTTCCCGTCCCAAAGGAGAATTGAAACAATAGAACATGTTTTCCTGCAATGTCCGACGGCAGTCCTAACATGGAGATGGTGGGAGAGGGTGTGGAGGCAGATGGTTCCGGACCAACCATGGCCATGGGACTCGAGAGCAATCCTCTTGGGCCACCATCCAGGCCTGCAGGACACAAACTATGCAAGGAACATGTTTGCTCTGGCAAGGAGGACGGTGCTATGGGTTCTATGGTGGCAGCGCTGCGCAATGACAATGGAGGGAGTCAGAGTTGAAGGGGAGGAAAGGAAGGAACA